TTTTCTTCTTAGTATCGTCGAATTGAATATTCTGTACACGGTTCATAAAAAACACATAACAGCAATGATACATTATTAATTTCAGCATTTTAAGAGTCTATTTCATACAATTTTATGACTCTCATGCAACGGTTTTCATATATTCGTGACAAAGACATATAAGTTGGACACAGTTATCAAATCATCAGCCTAAAGTCTTTAATAGGCATAAATCGAACTTCATTAATCAAACACCTCGTTTTAAACCTTGCCAAACAGTTAAAATATTGCTTGTCAATGGTCCCAAGTCTTTAAAAAGTAATGTTTCCTGCAAAGGGGGATACCTGTAAAGAAAGTCATTTTAAATTGTGAACAATAGTATCTTTAATTCAAAAGTTCGAACTTAAGCAGCAGGGGTATATAGCAGTCGACTAATGTAAAGGTTGTCCGATTTTATTTCAGTATATGTCAGTATAGGTTTAAATGAAGTAGTTAAAGACGACTGGCGCCACCTAGATTTTACACCTAAGATAATAGTTAGAAGTAAATTTATTTTCTGCTGCCCTGGTAATTAGAAATCAAAATTGAAATAGTGAGAAATGAGTGTTGGCAATTGGTGTAGAAATAGCGAGAAAATTGGTGGAAACTCACATGACGAGCAACATTTTTCTGTGCCAAATTAATCAAGGGGTGTTCTTCATTCATACTATTTCGAAAATTCCGGAACCGTTGAGTACCCTTACAAATTCTATCAAAAAAACTGCGGCACCATATGTGTTTTGCAGTTTTATTTACACCTAAAGGTGTTGATAATTCAGAATTCGACATTTTTATCGACGGATCTTTTATAGTGAAAACGCAGGACCCTAAAAGTCTACCATTGTTGCCTATGTAAATAATTACTTCGTTGTAACCTAAAACGAGATAACGATTTCTGGCGCATCACTGTATTTTTCGAGATATTTTAGAAATGGGATAGGTAAAAAAATAAGCTACTAAGTGATAAACTGTATCAGAAGAAACGATTTTTGGCGCATCACTGTATTTTTCGAGATATTTTAGAAATGGGATAGGTAAATTAATAAGCTACTAAATGATAAACTGTATCAGAAGAAAATTGCTGATCACCATGAAACTATAGTATATATCAAATTTTTACTGTTTTTTTTATTTTTTTGCTTAAGGGGTAGGAATCATTAACCTACTGTTAGAACAAGAATTCTGTCAAGGACTATGTCTTTAATCATTTCTCCTCATCCTCGATAACACTGCATGTATTTAGGTATATCTAAAAATAAAGGGGACTTTTATTTGCTGACGTTAGCGAAGTTTTTGTATTTTAATTGCGAAAATGTGCCAAAATGCCCCTTAAATATTAAAATTAGGTAAACAATTAAAGGCTATACATTTTTCTTCTCAGTATCGTCGAATTGAACATTCTGTACACGGTTCATATGAAACACATAACAGCAATGATACATTATTAATTTCAGCATTCTAAGAGTCTATTTCATAAAATTTTATGACTCTCATGCAACGGTTTTCATATATTCGTGACAAAGACATATAAGTTGGACACAGTTATCAAATCATCAGCCTAAAGTCTTTAATAGGCATAAATCGAACTTCATTAATCAAACACCTCGTTTTAAACCCAGCCAAACAGTTAAAATATTGCTTGTCAATGGTCCCAGGTCTTTAAAAAGTAATGTTTCCTGCAAAGGGGGATACCTGTAAAGAAAGTCATTTTAAATTGTGAACAATAGTATCTTTAATAAAAAAAATTGAACTTAAGCAGCAGGGGTATATAGCAGTCGACTAATGTAAAGGTTGTCCGATTTTATTTCAATATATGTCAGTATAGGTTAAAAGGAAGTAATTAAAGACGACTGGCGCCACCTAGATTTCACACCCAAGATAATAGGTAGAAGTAATTGCTGCCCTGGTAATTAGAAAAATTGAAATAGTGAAAAATGAGTGTTGGCCGTTGGTGTAGAAATAGCGAGAAAAATGGAGGAAACTCTCTGTGACGAGCAACATTTTCTGTGCCAAATAAAGCAAGTGGTGAAACTGGAAAGGCGAATTACTTTGAAGCAGATGATAGAATTCTTTGCGACAGTTATACCAGTTGGGACAGGTTATAGTTTCAATTTGTAATGAGTCGTAAAGGGGGTCCCTGTCAATGGAAAATTCTGATAGTTTGAAATTATTTCTGGGATATAAAATTGATACAAATAGGTATTAACCAAAGCATTTAGAAGATGTAACCTATTTTACTAAACATACTATACAAATGTCTTTTAAATAGAATCAAAATCAAATTCCTGTGAGAAGTTTCCAGGCATATTATTGTTTGATGCAGCTTTAATTTGAAAATACCAATGTCAATGTTTTCCTTCCTGACAACCCCTATTTCAATTACAATGGGAAATCCTTATTGGCAAATTTATGATGTGAGCTGAATGCAATTTTTTAAATTTTGATTCAACATGTTCAAATATTAATTGAAAAGGAAATGATACAAAATAAAAATTCTAAATCTTTCATACTTAGATATTACAAAAATAATAAGATGTGGTATAATTGCCAATGAGAAAACTATCCTTCATACATGTTTATACATAACAGACCATACCTATATGAACATGTCACATTGTGGACATGTAAGCAACTATTCGTTTTTTAGTCATCGCACACATACATGTACAAATGATATTCATTATTATTGCCATAGGGCCTTCAGCAATAATTAAAACCCATACTGTTTAGTAATTAAATTATATAAAAGGCGATTGGACAAAATGTTAAACACTTCAGGTAGAAATACATTATCATGACAGTTTGAGAGGAGTGTATTTTTGCATTTTAAACACCCGATATTTTTTTGGGTATTTTCATGTTTTACAGCCTGTATTTTCATGTCCATACCAGACAAAGGACCAGAAAATATTTGACAAACACTTCTTTTCGCATGAACTTTTCTTGAAAAAAAAAATGAAGCTGAAATCCTATGATTTTCATGTCCCTTTTTTCGATAAATATACCAAAAAAATTCAGAATGCTGCGATTGATATATGTGATATACAATTTATATAGCCCCATTTTAACTATTGGAAATCAAATATGATGATGGTACTGTTTTATGAATACATGTACATTTTGTACATGCATGTACAGTTCTCAGGATAGTCATACATGTTTATGACACAAACAGTAATGTTAAAAAGCAGGAACAAATTATTTCTTTTTAAATCATGAGAGTCATTTTAATTTTTTTTCTTTAATTTTCATTGATTCATGTACATGTACATGAACATATACCCACTTTAACTTAACTATTTGGCATATGAGAGACACGTTGTAAATTTGTATTGCTTATTTTAAGAGACACCACATGTAAATCAAATATATTGATATTTAGATTCTTAATCCACACACTTCTGAAATGGGATCTTTTTCATGTAGGATGATAATATATGTGTATGTTAAATTTGTTGTTTATTGTCCTTCATGTCCTTAGTAACTAAATCTAGTTATATGACATTAGAGTCTCAAACTTCTTACATCTACAAAACAGCAAAAACTGCTAAAATCGCCTCATTTTGAGATCTTGTATTTAATATTTAGATACATGCATGATGAGCATATAAGGTCAAATACTCAAAGTTAAACATGTTTATTAAATCACAATTACGTTTCTGATCTAAAGTGTTCATTTTATATATTAACCTGTCTATTTCACAATAAAATTAATATAATTTTGAAAGGCTGGAATAAGTTTACTACTTTTGCAACTTTAGGGGCTAAATCATAACTCCTCCTTTTCATTCATTTTACTACTACATAAATATTTGAATTTCAAAAAGGTAGAAAAATTTCACATACAAATCAAATATAAACATTGAAACAGGAATTCAAAAGATGAAAATGATGCTATAAAAATGAACATGATGAATGATGCTTAAGATTCAATGTATGAGTTATGCACCATTATGACAATTAGTGCTGACAGAAAATTTGAAATTTAAGTCAATCAATTCTTTCAGGGCTCTATATCAAGGCTTTTTGAACTTGTCCCTATAAGACAAAATGTTTCAAAAAGACTGGTCATATATAAGGATACAAATGTACATGTATTTAAAAAAATGCAAAAAATACATTAAATTGAATATTTATAATGTTTATTTTATGTGCCACATGATCAAGAATTTAATAGGTAATGTAGTAAGATGCTAATAAATCAATATATATTTTCCATGAGTTCTTTATATAAGAAAATAACTTTTTTGAGTTTTTAATACAATTTTCCAATTTCAATTTCAAAGATTAAGTTATAATCTTATTTCTTTTAAACAGGTAAAATATACATCAGATGATACAGACTTAGAGGATTCTGTCAGAGAAATGAATCAACTTGATGTTGACGTTACCCTACTGGATATGAAAAATGAAATGTTAGCATCTCTTAAAGGTACATGTACACCCTTATTTAGATAAAGTACCATATAAGAAAAGTATTTGGCATCTTGAATCCAGTATACTAGTCAGTACATCAGTGCTAACATAATGCAAATCAGAATAAGAAAGCACAACAAGAGTACTGTTAAACATAATAAATGTATGAGAGTCGGTTTAATTTTTTCCCCTTAATTGTGTATTGTTACATCATTATGTAATTCATGTCGGAATAGAAAAAAGAATAACAGATAGCACAAATAAAAAACATGAATGAGACCATGTACTCCAGATATGCAAGAAGGGTTTTAATCTCCTACTACAATGTACTACACATATACTTTCCGAAATGCGAAATCCTCATAAAATTATATTAAACTTCAATTATGTGAACTCTATTCATGTTATACAAAAAGTTTGAATTCATCTCATTAAATATAACTGAAAACATCTTCCAGCAAAATACTGATGTATACATGTATAGCTGTTCACTTCTTTTCTTACAGTTGACTGAGCAAGATGAAAAACGCACTTGAATCTGTAACCAGTTTAGAACTCTCAAAGTGACCAACAGAACATTTCAATATTTTTTTTTTTTTTTTTTGTATGTATTTGACGTTTTGGGATTTTTCGGCAGTTACTTCATTGTTTGATAGAGCACAATGTTAAAACTGTCAATTTTATTGTTTATGGATTTTTTAAACATGTTAAAAGCTAATTGGATGTCTCAAAGAATATTTCAATTTTGTCTGCAAATTTTATAAATAAAAAAAAGGTGTATTTGTTGATAAAAATTCCAAATTATTACAGAGTATTGGAAAATTGGAACAATTTATATATAAAAAAATATGTTAAAAGAAAAAATGTTAAAAACTGTTTTTTTTTTTTCAAAATTATGTTTTTTCAGAAATATGTGCACCAAAAAAATTAAACTAATTATAAATATCAATTTGGTATGTCCTTAGTAATTTTTTGCAGTGCAAGCTTTTGTTTGTTCTAAATCTATTGGTTGAATAAACTAATTGTTATATTATTCACACTGAAACTAAGTATTTGTCATATTTTTTGTTGCCCAGTTATCCATCTTATAAAATAAGCAGATCTGATATGATTGCCAATTTGACAGCTACATGTATCTACCACAGTTCTCCTTATGTCATATTCACAACAACAATTAATTCTTATTGTTAATCAGAATCATTGTAACGTATGGCAATAATCCTTTGTTGTGATCTCCTGACTTTTATATCTACCAAGTATGAACATAACAGTGGTTCTGTTTACAAAATTTTAGAAGAAACTGCTATGGCACAAAATAAAAATCAAAAGATGTAGTATGATTGTAATGAGACAACTCTCCACCAGAGACCAAATGACGTAAAATTTTCCCCTACTAACCATGGACAAGATCTATAGTTATGCCATATGGCAATTCAGAATTTAGGTATGAGGATCTTATCAGTTTTTAATTTAATTAATGAGATGAAAGGGATGGGCATGAACCCCCCCCCCCCCCAAGCATTTCACAGAGGACCAAACTGATGGTTTAGGATGGAGATATGTACCATTTATAAGATATTTGATGATTTACTTTATGAGGGGTTCCTGCGGGGCATGATCTGAAGGTATAAATTTTTAGCTGCATTGAAAAGGTCTTGTCGTGGCAATCAAGAGAATACTGTTTATTCAGAAATGTTTGCAATGTTTTTTGAAGTGGACATATATGACTCAATTAGATACATGTACCTTTGAGGATAATTGTCAAGGTCAGAGGTAATCTTCTATGGAACACAACACATTGTCTTGAGGTGCTGAACCCATGTGCCAAATATCAGAAGTTTTGTTACAGGGTGAACAGGTCGTACGCGTGTTCCCGACACACAAGTAAAAAAAAACCATCTTTTTACTTTGAGGTCAAAGGTCAAAGTACAACCAGAATCTTATTGTTGGTATCTATGGCATTGACTTATGACCTACTGGCCAATGAAATGAGAATCTTCTTATATTTTCTAATAAAGCACTAGCATGGTGAAAATGTTTACAAAATAATCAACAGAAGCAAACTGTTAATGAACACTCTACGTAGTAATGGTTGCTATGGCAACCAAATGAAAAAAGTGGAGACGGGACTACACCTCTTTTTTTTTTAATCTAATAAAAACCTATCACTCAAAAATGTTAAATACAATAAAAATTCAAAATAATTGGTGTTTTGCAATTTAATTCATGTAATACCACTTCAGTTTGCCAAAGCAGATTTTTTATAATTTTCTCTATTTTTGCAATGTTTCACCTTATTTTATGCAAAAACTTAAAAGAGATACCAAACATTTTATTTTCATAATTTTTTACCCTTACATAGGTATTTAAGTCATAAGAGTTGTTTTCTTCTGGTGATGGATAATTGAAAACTGGTTTTTTCCCATACATTTCAATGACAATTCGCCATTTGGGCTCTTATATTGAACTTCATAAAAAAATTGTCAAATTCACAAAAAATTGCAATTTTGTTTTTAAAATTCCAAGTCAGTATGTTCATGATGTTATACTGATTGGGTAAAATGTATTTTTGACCATTTTTTTTTTTTTTTTTCGTGGTACACTCCTGCCTGGTGCTTTCTGGCATTACCTCTTAAGGATTATGGTAAAACGTGGATTCAGTCGTAACAATATAAACTGGACACATTATCTTTGTAATGGTCGTTTGATAATCTATATAGAAGTACATCAAAATACGATGTACAGTAAAATCAGCAAAATTATTCTTACCCTTTGTAGAAGTTTTTGTAGGTTGTGGACGCTATTTAACTTTTCAAAGCATCATAGTTTGATAATGCAATAATCCTTGTGTCGATTACACACGAAAAGAAGACGGAATCCACAGCAAATCTTGTCATCCAAATAATATACCTATATCATTCATTTTCATAAAATCAAAATCTGTACCTCTCTCCTTTTGCTATTAAAAAAAAGATGTTCGAATAAACATCTTGTGTACTATTCCTTATTGTGCAATTTCGATGGATATGGATTTACAGGCTGATGTGTCATAGCAGGTGACGCTTGGATTCTCTGTTCACCTTGTCCCATCCGGTATGGATATCTTTTTATTCCTTTGAACTTTATTTTTTGTCTTGATTTGTATATTTTAAAAAGGAATTACAAGATTTTATTATCGGTATTCTATTGTTGACTCTTATTCACGGCAAGTAAAAACTAAGAACAAGTTGAATAATATTTTGTGTTAAAATCGAGAAATAAGTGTGTAATGTGTAAACAACAATTACCATGAATTATATCAGTGTAAACTTCTATCCGAAAATGTATTTATGAAATCTGGAATGTGCTAGCTATACAATTCGAAATTTTATGGACACAATTTGGGTTTCCGTTTGGTAATTAGTAATAAACGATGTATATGTTCCAATTGTCGTAACCACAATCCTGTCATCTTTTCCTCGAATGTGACCTACCGGATTAGATTTTATCAATGGCCTTGAACTTTCACGAGAATGACGACGGATACCAAATTTGGAGCAGAATCTATTATCCTTCCGAAGCACCTGAGATCACCCATAGTTTTGTTTAAAAAGGGTGCGTCTTGCTTTGCCTTATTTTATAGTGTTGTTCGTTGTGCTTTTTTTATGTATGTGAAGTTTATTGTGGTAAAAGTCTTGTCCGTTCTTTGTCATGAAAAACTAGTTTCAATTTCCAAATTTCCCAAAAGTGTCTGGGTTGGAATATTTACCTTATCGACGGTTAAAGAATTCAGTGATATATTAGAGTAAGATAAAAGTCAATCGCTTGAAGCGTAATCACTTCATATCCCCCTTTTTATAGGAGTAACACGACGGTTGTCACACATCGAGCATGATCTGCTTATCCTTCCGGCGCACCTGAGATCACGGTTTTTTGGATTAGTTAGTGTCTCTCAATATTTAGTTTTTAAGTTGTGTTTTGTGTACTGTTGTTTGTCCTTTTGTTGTATTTGTTGTTTGTTTTGCAATGGCATTGTCAGACGTAGTTTATTTACGACTTATAAGTTTGGATATTCCTTTGGTATCTTTTGCCTCTTTTTTACTTTTGTCTTAAGAATTTTCTTTACTACCGAAATTGACATAAGGGAACTTATTTTTTTACATATCTCATACAAGTTATAATATTCCTTTTAAAGAGATGGCTATATTAGTTTGTCACAGCAATTTATATACAAGGATATACGACACAAGAGACGAATTTTCGTTTCCGATTGTTAATTTTCCCTTATGGAACGCAGGTGTTCCTTTTGGCCCTTCTTTCGGTGTGTATATTTCACAACTTGTTCGCTATGTACGTTTATGTAGATTTCAATGAACGTGTAATTTATGTATCACAGGTAAATTATTCAGTAAGGAATTTAATTACAAAAAGAAATTGTCGAAAACTTTTAATATATTCTTTTAAAGATACAACTGTTTGGTTGGGAGCAAGTTTTCCTACAGAATTCTTATTGAAAACGGGATATTACATCCTAAATGTTACGATGATGTTGTTTAAGCGTTTAAATTGAGATATCATCAATGTAATATGTATTGCTTCATATGCACATTTATGAGTACTTATCATTCTACATCATTTCGATACTGTTTATGTATATTTTGGAATTTCATAAGGTCATGCGTTTCTCAGACTTTTTTATAAAGTTTTGACACTAAATCCGATGAATGTGTACTGATTGATTCTATAATCTGAAAAAATTTGAAATTTTATTTGTTTGTTATTTCAAAAATTTGTGTCTATTGTGTTTATGCTGGTTTGTTTGTTTGTTATCGTAGCGATATTTTGAGCTAAGACATTTTAAACTGTTCCTATGTTGTGCTATAACACCATTGTCTCTGGTTAAGGGGGTGGAGCGCTAACAAAAATGCTTAATCTCGCCACATTCGTTATGTGTCTGTCAGGGCCTGTAACTCATTGGTAGGTGATGTTTCAAATCTGTCACGTTTTTTTTGTAATACATAATACCTATATATTAATAAGAAGATGTGGTAAAATTTCAAACAGGACAACTATCCACCAAAGATCTATTGAAGTTGATGAAAGCAATCAAAGGCAACCATAAAGCATTTAGCAATAGGAAAAACGCATACCGTTTAGTAGGCTATAAAAGGCCCCGTCATGAAAAATATGAAACAATTCAAGTTAGGAAACAAACGGCCTTTTTTATAACAAAACAATTTACGGAAAACAAATACGACATACAACAACCAACAAAAAGGCACATAAACAATGTGGTGGGGTTAAACATATGTGAAGCGACAACCCTCCCCAAACTGGGACAGTGGGGTAACAGTAAAACATAAGAACGGACTGTGAAGATCTGTTTACAAGGGTTTAACTCATCAGACCGATTCAAAGCTGAAACACATTTAAAAAAGACACATATACTAAAGCTTGCTGTTCGGTGTGAGCCAAGGCTCCGTATTGAAGGCCGTACTTTGACCTTTATTTGTTTACTTTTTACACATTATAATGGAGAGTTATCGCATTGACATTCAAACCACATCTTCTTATTTTTACAGACCGG